CTGTCAAGAGCCCCAGTGGCTTCTCTCTCTCTCTCTCTCTCTCTCTCTCTCTCTCTCTCTCTCTCTCTCTTTCTCCCCCACCCTTTCTTTCTTCCTCTCACTCTTTCTCCTCCTCTCCTCCTCCTCCTTTCCCTCCTCCTCCTTCAGATACACAGCAGGAAGTAGCCTCCACACAGTTTGAGTCCATCACTTCTGTTCATTCAACCAGCAGAGCCTGCTAATGTCTGCCCAGCACTTCCTGTGTGCCAGGCCTTACCAGGCGTGGGGAACCGTTTTCCTGCCAGGGCCATTTGGATGTTTATAACATCATTCACGGGCCATACAAAATTACCAATTTAAAAATTAGCCTGCTATCTTTGGTCAAACATTTAATTAACTCACCCCAGACCAAATGATTTTTCGGGCCTTATACAGCCCTCGGGCCGAACGTTCCCCACCCTTGCAGCTTAGGCACAAGGCTTCACCAACAGGATTTCATGTCATCCCACGGTAGCTATGGTAGCTGTTTTCATCATTCCAAATTCCAGAGAAGGAAACCGAAGCATTGAGGTTTCAAGAAACTGCCTGAAACCACACATTTGAAATAAGAGTCAGAGCAGGATTTGAAGGGTGTCCTAGTCCCCTATCACATTAATTTCTCAAGTCAAAAAGACTCGGTAGCACATTCCTGGGGGAGCGGGGATTCTGATTGGCCTAGCTTGAGGCAGGTGTCCGTTTCTGGACCAATCAACTTTGGAGGTGGTTCTCAGAGCACCAACTGGGACTCCCAGGCCCAGCATTAGGGAGCCATACTCAGATGGGGCAGTGAGCTGGCACATGGTCTCAGCAAGATTCCAAGGATGTCCCCTCCCTCCTTCCTAGATATACCATTTCCTATTTTCCTCAGGCACACAAAACCCTGCTGCATTCATCTGTCCACTAAGAAGTTAGAAGTGGCCTGAGTTCAAATCCTGCCTCTGCCATTTTCCTAATGGTCTGCTCTTGGGCAAAGAGTTACCTCTCTGAGCCTGAGAGTCTTGATCTGGATCACAATACTGGCCTCTCAGGGATGTGGGGAGAACTAGATAACAACCCAGGTAAACTCTTCAGTGTTTCCAGATTGGTTTTAGGGTCAAGTTCAAACTCAAGATGTGAGTTGGCTGGCACCTGCTTAACTTTCTACCCTTTATGTCCCTCCTCCCAGAGTGGCCCCTTCGTCCAGCCATGCTCACCTACTTGCATGTAGTTCCTTGAACTTCTCTGGTCTGTGCCTCTGCACATACTGTGCCCTCTGCCTGGGATGCCCTTCCTCTTCTCACACCATCTAACTTAGCTAACTGGCTCCCTGTTGTGGGTTGATTTGTGTCTCCCAAAGGGTATGTCCACATCCTAAATCTCAGAGCCCAGAACCTGTGAGTGTGACCTTATTTGGAAGTTGGGTCTTTGCAGATGTGTCTCAGTTAAGGATCTTGAGGTGAGATCATCCTGGATTTAGGATGGGCCCTAAAACCAACTATAAGTGTCCTTATGAAAGCAAGGAGAGGGGGATTTGGAACACAGACACAGAGGGAAAGGCCGTGGGAAGATGGTGGTGGAAATTGGAGTGATGCATCTACAAACCAAGCAATGCCATGGGTTGCTGGTAGCCACCCGGGAGCTGGGACAGAGGCACGGACAGATTCTCCCCCAGAGCCCTCAGAAGGAGCTAACCCTGGTGACACCTTGATTTTGGACCTCTGGCCTCCAGAGCTGTGGGAGAGTAAGTTTGTTCCTGTTGTTTTAAACCACCCAGGTTATGGTCATTTGTATGGCAGCCACTGGGAAACCCACGCTCAGAAACTTAGCTCAGACAGCGCCTCCCCTGAGAAGCCCTCCCTGACTTCTCACCCTGACTAGGTGCCCAGGGCCCATGAATGGCTTTACCCTAGCACTTCCCAGGGTGCCTGTGTTGGCCCACACACCGTGTGTCTCCTCTGGAAAGCAGGTATCTTTGTGGCTTAGACGACAGCAGTGCTTCCAGGGGAAAGGAGTCCACAGTCCAGCAGCCTCAACACTCACCCAGCTGACACAGGAGGGTGGAACTTCAGGCAGACAGGTGCCTGCAGGGAGGAGTCTGTTTGGGGGCTGGGCACCTCCCACCCAGGGCCTATTCACCTCCTCCCCGGTGGAAGCAAGGGACCATCCCTGGGTTTATAAGATAGGATTTATCCTGCACTTTCATCTTCGCCCTTTCCCTTTAGACTACCTTGCTGACCTGTGTGGGAATGTCCTAGAAAAAGACTTGGGATCAGGCAGTTAGTTAATCCTGGCAGCTCAGATGAAAATGGCCCCAGGAAAGACTGCAATTGTCCCTTTACCCAAGGAACAGAGAGGCTGTGTCATTGTTCCTTCCTATAGAAAAGCTGCTTCCGTGGGGGAGGCCCCAGGCAGGCCCTGCCTTTAGCCAAGTGCCTGGGGGGCCAGTCACTTTTCAGTGGCCTCAGAGAAGCCCTTTGTCTCCGAGGCAGGGCCAAAGCAGCCCAGGGGCCTGTCCACTATTTCCCCTCTTCCTGGTGTCCCTGCTCCCGGGCCCTGTTAGGGGGGACTACGCCTTCTCAAAGGCTGGGCCCCCGCCCCCTACGGCTGGGACACAGTCCTCAGACAGCCTCAGAGGTGGTGGCCGCGGCTTCTTTTGTCTCTTCAATATGGGAAGTCTTGTGTGGCAAGAAAGAAAACTCCAGACTGGGGATTGGGAGCAGTGGGACCGGCCTCCTGCAGTTCACGAGACAATGGGAGATGGGGCCTGGCGTGCCAGTGGCCTGCTCTGCCAGCTCCACGCTGGGTGGCCTTGGAGAATTGCTCCACCCCTCAGCTCCCTCTGCGGGACCCAGGAAACCGAACACGCTCTGTGACGGTACCGGTGCCAGCTTCCGGGTGTGATGCTGTCCTGTGGTTGCACAAGGTGTCACCTTGGGGGATGGACTCCCTGTTTGCTTCCTTGCCTGTCTCATCAATGTTCCATTGTTTCAAATAAAATGTTTTTTAAAACTAGTTTTTAAAAAGAAAAGAATACAGGTGGACGATCCGAGTATGAGACATCATCTGACTTTGACAATTAATGGCTCCCCAAAAAGTGTTTTTTCTTCCTGTAATTTGCACCAAGATAATAATAATAAGGAATTATCACCATGCCCAACGAGTACTTACCATCCATCCATCATCTCACACAATCCTCCCCAGCAGCTCCGAAAGGCAGCCACTCTGACCACACCCATTCACAGAGGAGGAAACCGAGGGTCAGAGATGGTAAGCAGCTGGCTCAGGATTGGAACCCAGACTGACCAGTCTGTGCTCGCTCCGCCCCATCTGATGGGCAGCCCCTAGGTGGGGAGGAGCTCAGCCCTGTCCCCAGCGCCCTGTGTGGGACCACACACGAGCAGCCCCCCTCTGGGCCTCAGGGGCTGGAGGGATGCGCTCGATAGGCCAGAACTAGCAGAGCAGCTGGGCCTCTGGAGTCTGAGCTGTGGGTAGGACAGGCCCGGATTCCAGGCCCCGGCACTTACTGGCTGTGTGACTTTGGGCGAGTCCTTTCAGATTTCTGACACTCAGGTCTCTGCTGGCTGTAATTGTTTGCTTCCACCGTGTGTGGCCAGCCCTGAGCGGACAGTCCCTTAGACCCACGGTCCTCAGCCCCGGTGAGCCCTGCTCCTGTAGACCCCTCTCTCTGCCAGGAGCTACAGCCACCCAGCCCCAGGTCCCTTCCAGACCAGTGAGATGCCCCGTCAGGACATGGGGGAGACTGGGCATTTCATGGGTCACCCAAGCGGTGGCCCCTGGCTTGCCCCCAGGAAGTGTGTGAATACGTTCCACTCTGAGGCTTGTGCCTGGAGTGAACAGACATAACCTCTTTCTCTGAAATGTCTCCTGACTGGACATTCTTGGGCAAAGTTGTCCTTCTTTTCCATCAACGTGAAGGTCCAGACCTCCCAGGCAGTGTGACGGATGCCCACTTCATGCACCGTTTACACGAGTCACTCGGCTGTTTCTCACTCGTGTTCTACACACGAAAACAGTAAGAATTCTTTAAATGCACGGATGCTCAGAAATGACACACACACCAAGGCCATCGATCTCCACTTTAAGCGGGACCTGGACTATTTTCTAAGAGAATGTGTATTGTGTGCGTGGGTGGGGACGTGCAGGGGGGCAGGGGACAGGACAGTGGCTTGTTTTTAAAATATGGGTACTCAGGTGTTGCCTCCACATTTGGAATTAAAAAGTTGAAGCCTGCCAAACAATTCATTAATACCAATCTCCACAATCTGTTTTTGAAGCAGGTTATGGGCTGAATTGAATCAGTTCCCCCACAAACCTATGAGCATATGTGTCCATTTTTTTGTGCAGACACCATCGAGATTTGAATTATGTAACAGATGCCCTCCGGGCTCTGCCCATGCCCCTGTGGGCCCCTGTGTGCACAGGAGGGGGGCTGCCCCTGGAATTGACAGCCCTGCCCCATCATGGAGGTGCTGGGAGCCTGATACATACTCAGCACCCCTTTCCCCGAGGGGCAGATTCCACGGCTCGCTTGCAGAATGAACATGTAGGCCTCTGGCTCAACCATCGCTAAGAATTCATTATACCAAGCGCAGGGCCTCTGAGTGACCACATGGGTTCCTGCCCCAGAGCTGGCCTGGTGGGACTCAGGCTGCCTCTAGGACCCCCAGGGTTGGCACCAGAGTTACCCCCTGCAGCACCTTGACACCTCACCTCCTCTGACCTTCTTCCCTCCTGTCCCACTTCTCCACCTGCCGCCTGTTTTGCCCAGAAACTTCCATAATATGTCACTTTCACCAAATCCTCCTCCCAGGATCCAATTCAGAGGGATCTCAATTAAAACAGCCCACATGTGGCCGGAAAGCAGGGCTGAGCTGACTCCCCAGCAACACACACCCACCCCCTCACCCCCCGGAGCCAGTGGCTTCAGCCCTGGTCCGATTTAAGACCATCCGGTGGGTAAGCTATGAATCACACATGAATAGGTAAGTTCATCTTCATTTTATGATGAGCGAATGTACTTGGAGAACGGGGCTATATTCTGAGACTCTGGAGGGCTGGGTGCGTGCCCACCAGAGTCAGACCTGGGCTAAGGCTGGAAATTACACGACACGGAACTCTGACTTAGGAAGGAGCTTCGCACCTGCTCACAGGGCAGTGCCTGCTTCCCCGGTAGCATCTGTGGAGCTGCATTTCCAAGATGACAGAACAGGACGTGGCGCTGGTCAGCGGCCCCCACCGTCACCCAGCCAGGGAGGGCACTGGGGGTGAGAGCCGGGTGTCCTGTCTCTCGGTACCTCTGGGGTTATGCTCTGCTGAGCTGGGCACGACCTCTGAGGGTCAAAGCATTCTTATACCACTGTGTCCAAGGCTTAGCAGAAAGTGAGGAACGTTCTTTCAAATCAGCTGAAAGGGAAGCCAAGAAGAAAGGAACATGAGCCATTGCTTAGGCAATACGTGGGCCACCAATCTGTGTCATCCTCTCCCTCCTTCCCCACCGGACACCAGGCAGGTGCCAGTCTCTGCTGAGACTAAATTCTTAACTCACGGTGACGTCCCTGCAGGTGCCACCTTACTTAGTTCCTAACGCCTCCCTCCCATCGTTCCCATTTTATAGATGAGGAAACTGAGGCTGGAGAGTTCAAGTCATTGCCTAGGTCATGTGGTAGCAGAGCAAGAACGTAAAGCCACGTCTGTTGGCTCCTAAAAGCCATCCAAGCTGCCTCTCACGGTCTGTTGTTCTCCCCGGGCCCCCGGCAGGTGCACGTTTAAGGCTCACAGTCCGCGGTGGGTCAGACCCGCTGCAAGGACTGTTCCTGTCATCAGCAGGTAATAGACCTGCTGCGTCAGTCCCCACTGGCTCCAGATGTCCCAGGAGGTCTCACACCTGAACGTTCTGGAATCTGAAACCTGATGCCGTTCAAGGACATCCTGGGGAACCGCCCGCTTCCAAGGGCTTTCGTTGGCCATGTGTCGACATTGAGCTTTCACAGGGGATGGCGGGTATTTCGGTTTTAGCCGCTAAGACCCCTCCAGTTGCTGGGATCCCATAACCCTTGTTCACCTGTACCTGAGAGCAGAGCCTGTGCCTAACCATAACCTCCCCCGGGGCCGGCCTCCCCAGCACCATTCTGTTCCCACCTGGTGCTTCCCTGTGGCTCCTCTAAGCCAGCGATTTCTAACCACGGTGCTGTGACACTCTGGAGGCCAGAAGAATCTTTAAAACATGCAATACCTAACTGTTTAGGTACAGGCCCTGACCACTTTTCCCTTAGATTATCAAATTAAAAAATGACTACAGCCCAGCCGGTGTGGCTCAGTGGTTGAGCACTGACCTATGAACCAAGAGGTCGCCAGTTCGATTCCTGATCAGGGCACATGCCCGGGTTGTGGGCTCGATCCCCAGTGGGGGCTGTGCAGGAGGCAGCCGATCAATGATTCCCTCTCATCAATGCTTCTATCTCTCCCTCTCCCTTCCTTTCTCTCTAAAAATCAGTAAAACATATATATTTTTTTAAATGACTACAGCCAACACAACAATAACCATCAGGTGTGAATGAATCAAAATTATACCTGGTGTGTGTTTTTCTTTGTCAGATCGGCAAAAATATAATATATTTTTGGTGTGCCACGGAATTTTAGTGATTAGTGTATGTGTGCCCTGAGATGAAAAAGGTTGTAAATCGCTGCTCTAAGCCAAGATCTTTCCCGCATCAGGACGTTTCTTCTTCCGGTTCTTTTTGCCTGGGTGCCCGTTCTCCAGGTCTTCCTACCAGCACCTCCTCATCTCAAGTCTTGGCTCAGCTCCTCCCCCAGCTTTCCCTGACCCCTGACCCCGTCTGAAGCAGCTCCCAGCCCAGGCTCGGCTACTCTGCACCACATCGCCTGTCTGCTTCCTTCACACTCCTCATTGCAGCCTGTCACTTTCTTGCTGACTTGCTTGTTGACTTGTTTAGTCTCCTACTAAAGGACGTAGGAGATGTACACCCCATGACAGCAGGAACTCTGCTCTCTTCACTACATCACCCCCACAGCTCCCAGCCCACTGCAGGTGCCGTGCGTGGCTGTTGAGCATCTGAGTGCCTGGTACCTGCCTATCAGAGAGCTGGCCCTCGAAAGAATCGTGCGACAGAGGGAGGGACAGATGTCATGGGACAATGGAGGACTTGTCTGCCTGTTCACGGATGCATTAAGGCAAAGGACTGGAAAGGGGATGGAAAGGTAAGTTACAACCTAGTTGAGTCTTTGGATATAGGTCTAGAGCAGTGGTTCTCAACCTTCCTAATGCCGCGACCCTTTAATACAGTTCCTCATGTTGTGGTGACCCCCAACCATAAAATTATTTTCGTTGCTACTTCATAACTGTAATTTTGCTACTGTTATGAATCGTAATGTAAATATCTCTGATATGCAGGATGTATTTTCATTGTTACAAATTGAACATAATTAAAGCATAGTAATTAATCACAAAAACAATATGTAATTATATATGTGTTTTCCGATGGTCTTAGGCGACCCCTGTGAAAGGGTCGTTCGACCCCCAAAGGGGTCGCGACCCACAGGTTGAGAACCGCTGGTCTAGAGGGTATAGAAACGCCCACTCTAACAACACGAAAAGTTCTCATCTGTTCGCTTTGAAATTATAAGGGGGTTTAAAATTCTACCCGCAGGGGAAGCCCCACTCTCACCCTCCCACCGGTCCGCTTTGTGGTGGAAGCCACCTCGGATACCTGGCTGCACAACCCCCCCTTCCTGCCATCGACCCCCACTCACCCCGTCACTGCTTTATTGAACGTGCCTCTGCCGTCCTTTCCCATGTTCCGCCACGTTCTTGGTGTCACCCTCTGCAAGAAGAACAGGGCTCTGTCGGAACAGGCATGTCGACTCCTGCTCAAAGGCTCACCACTCACTGCTAAGTGAAGTCCAAGTACATCAGCCTGGTCCTGTCTCCCCTTTTCCCACAAACGAGGTACACGGTCCCCCCCTGCAGTCTCTCCCCTTCCCTCGCCAGGCCCCACCACCTGTGGGTCCTGGCCCTGCCCGCAATTCTGGCCTCATCTGCTGCCACTCTCCCCCTCACTTAGACACTCCAGCTGCACTGATGGCTTAGTTGCTTCCAACCTCAAGATTTTCACACTTGCTGTTACTGAAAACCCACTTGGCTTATTGTTTGAATTTCCTGTTTGACATTCGCTGCATCATGGCAGGGACTGGTCTGCCATGTTCACAGATGTAACCCAACTTCCAGCACAAAACGAAGAATAGAATAAAGAATGAATAAGCAGAGAATGCTTGATAAATGCTTAATCATGATATGATAGATGCGTGGAATGATTAAATCAATTATTGGATGAAAAGATGGGTGGATGGATAAAGATAGATGGGTGCATGATTGAATAAATTATTAAATGGATGATGAATGGATAGATGATTGAATTATTGGATGGATGGAGCAATGGATAATTGAATGGAATGATGGTGTTAGCCACATGTTCCAATTCTGTGAATGAAAGTCTCTCCAATCCCAGGTTCTGATGTTCGATGTTTACCACGAAACCACATTTGCTATGAATGCCTCTCAACTCATACCTCCTCCACACCCCCTCCCCCATCAGACAACAGGCCTTTTAAGTTGTTTACCAATCCTAGCTTCTATTTTGTCTTCTATGAGACATCCCTGAGCTTCTGCCCCAGTCCCTCTCAGTCACCAGTCTAGCGGCTCCTCCACCTCCAGCCTGCAGCCTGAAGTGGCTCCCGTCCATGTCAGATGCCCCTGGAGGACTGCCCCGGTTGGAGAGACTTTCAGAACAGACATATCTCGGCATCCCGCCCCCTCAACCCCAGAGTGTCATCTGATGGCATAAAAGCACCTGGGGAGGGTCTGGCCACTTCCCGTCTCAGCAGCTTCACACTATAGTTCTCCTGAGAGTCCCTGGGCCTTTATTTTTCTTCTCCACCCAAGAATGATCATTGTCCTTTTTAGGACTCTGTAAAGCAAAAATGGTTTCTTCTCTTACCTGGATATTTTTTGTGAGCTGTCTGTCTTCGGAGTGGCTCTTCTGGAAAACAAGTGAGAGGGTTAAACGCCTTTCAGGAATTTCATACGGCCCAAACTACTTTCATGCTAATTCTAAAGAATTGCTTGTGTTTTTCATTCTCATTCTACTGTGCACTCTCAGACTCAGCCAGAGGCTGCATGGCTTTGGTATTGCCGCTGATCCAATGCAGAAGCAGATGTGAGAATCCAGCCCTCTTACTTCATATACAGAATTGTAAAAATGTAGAACCATACCATTCCTCTCACTGGTGTTTTTTTCTGTTGAAAAAAATGTTAATTTTTTTTAAAAAAAGTTACTTCTGTTTACTACATAATGAATTTATCATTGTTATTTTAATGAATTAATACATAAATATTTTTAGTGTCCCAGCTTTAGTTTCTCATATGGGAAATATCACAGTCACACAGAGAAGTGCTCTGGGGGATCCTTATTATTTTTTTAGTATAAAGGGGTCCTGAGCCCAGTGATGAACTGGAAGCAAAATTTCAGCATATTGTTTAGCAAGTATCATTACAAAATATGTTCACATGGGGAGTAAATGGTATTGTTTTAGTCCTTTCAAAAGAGATTCAAATGTCATTACTGCAAATGACAAAGTAACTCGAGAATGAATCTTCACTTAACTGCTTCACCAATCCTCTCTGAGCCTCAGTTTTCTCGCCTGGAAATGGGCATAAAATCACGACCTCTTCAGTTATTGTGAGGATGAAAAGAAATAATTTCATTTACAACACATATATGCAAATATTAGGAGGAACCATATGAAACTGCCATTTTTGTGTGTTAAAAAGTGGTCAACTTTTGGCAATTTCCTATGTCTCAAATGGCTTCTCCCTGTTGAGTGCCATTAACCCCACCTCTTCCCTCAGCCCCCACAGCAGGAAAACATTTGGGGGAGAGTGGACATCTGGTCAGAACACTATATTTCACACGCCAATGCCAATATTGGGCAGCTCACGTCTCCCCTGCAGCAGCTCAGCCATGTCTGACAGCTGCAACACAAACAGATCACATTTATGCACCTGAAACTCATACCATGTTATATGTCAACTAGAGGCCCAGTGCATGAAATTCGTGCATGGGGTGGGGGGGGGGTGGGATCCCCTCAGCCCAGCCTGCACCTTCTCCAATCCGGGACCCCTCAGGAAATGTCCGACTGCTGGTTTAGGCCCAATCCTGGGCCTAAACCGGCAGTCAGACATCCCTTTCACAATCCAGGACCACTGGCTCCTAACTGCTCACCTGCCTGGTCACCCCCAACTGTCTCCCCCCTGCCAACCTGGTCACCCCGAACTGCCCCCCACCAGCCTGGTTGCCCCCAACTGCTCCCCCTGCCAGCCTGGTCGCCCCTCACTGGCCCCCCTGCCGGCCTAGTCACCCCAACTGCCCTCCTGCTGGCCAGGTCGCACCACACAACCTGGTGCTCAGACGTTTGGGTGTCCCTCACTAACCCCCCTGCCGGCCTTGTGACCCCGTTCAGCCTGTTAGTGCGTCCATTCGGTTATTTCGGATGTGACTGCCCCTGGTTCTTTATATATATAGCTTATATCTCAATTAAAAAATTTCCTTATGCCTAGCTGGACATTTTGTCTCGTTTTGAGTTGGGGTCACCATCTGGGTGTTAGGGACCAGCAGTGACAGCTATTGTACAGGCAACAAGGGCATGCGTGGGCAACCCGCATGCTGGGGTGAATAGCTTATCGGCAATAACCCAGGCTCTAGGACCTTTATCAGGGCCCGAGGATCTCTGAAACCTTTCTGCTCCTCCCTCTCCTCGGAATGAGTGCTGGCTGGTCATGCCTGCTCATGGAGCGCTGGCCAACCACTGCCAAGGGGTCCCAAAGACTAATACAACTCACTTTCTGTTATCAAATATATGTAGTTAAAAAAAATATAAACTACATGGCTACTTCCTTGAAACATCAGCTTCAACATCGTCCCACTCCCCTTGAGACCTATTGATCA